CAACTTGAATATGTGAAACTTGGAAAGAGACAAAGGACTACTAGCCGCGGGCAAATTAAACCGTATGAGAACTGTGTCTTCGAAGCAGTGTGTGTGGACGGGGAGGATCTGGTCTGATGGAAGCCAGGTTCCACGTTCACCCGCATCACTGCCCGGGGGTGATACGCTGTCCGTTTTTGGTGGTGGCTGTCGGACTGTTACTACGGTCGCGAAATAAATTTTATCTTTCATATTTTTATTAAAATTGGCTCACTCGCAATTTTCATTTATAACGTCTCTGTGCTGTTTCCTCTGTAATAAGTGTCTGAAGAGATCACTTCATTCTCTGTTATAAATGTGCTGTTTCCTCTGTAATAAGTGTCTGAAGAGATCACTTCATTGCAGAAATGAGGTGTCTGGAGTGCTGCACAAACTGCAGGCCAGGAGAAGGAAAAGGACAGCAAGAATGGTTTCTGTCAGAGGTCAAGGAGCTCCTCTACCTTTGCCACAGCCTTCTCATGCCCTCGGGCAAGTCTCTCACTCCTACTGTCATTATGCAATCCTTCTCAAGCCTTAGCTCACAGATTTTTATAAGAAAATACACTTTTCCTAAGCCATTTGAGTGCTTGAATTGCTCTGAAATTGCTTCTCAGTTTCGTCAACACATCTGTTTCTCCCATCACCTTTAGCAAAATCCAGTTCTTAAGTTAATGGCAGCTGGGAAGACAAGAGGCACAGCCCTTCCTGCCTGTCTGCAGCCACTGTGTGCCTCCGTGATCCCTGCTCCAGCAGGGCCATCCCAGAGCACATGGGATTGTGTCCAGAGGGGTCTGGATTATCCCCAGGGAGGGAGACTCTGCACCAGCTCTGGGCAATCTGTTCCAGTGAGCCAGCACTGCACAGGAAGAAAGTTCTTCCTCGTGTTCAGGTGGAACTTGCTGTGCATCACTTTGTGCCCATTGCCTCTTGTCCTATTGCTTGGCACCACTGAGAGGAGCCTGCTTCCATCTTCTTGGCACCCCTCTTTGAACGTTTATGCACAATAATGAGGTTCCCTCTTAGGGGTCTCTTCTTCAGGCTGAACAGGCCCAACTTCCTCAACCTTTCCATGGAAGAGAGATGCTCCACTTGATGCCTTGCTGGGCTACCTAAAAACAGAGGCCAGACAAAATTAAGGAAGTAAAAAGCAGTTCTATTTATTGAAGGGCCTTCAGGTACATCCAGGGCAGACAAAGCCCCCCAGGGGCTATACCCAAAAATGGACCATGGCTCACAGGTTTTTATGCTTTATAAGTTTAGGCCATTTGCATATTGGGGGTTAATCTTCAATTACAGCTTCAGCTAATAAAGTAATTTACCCCAAATTTGCTCTCCCCAAATCACTTTTATTTTACATTTCTTGGGGCCTGAGGCAGTGAGGTGTCCTTGATTGCCAGGCCTGGAGAGGAATTGGTGTGTCTGACCAAAATGGGAAAGCAGCAGCTCACACTGTGTGTGGAGTTTAGAGTTATACACTAAAGAACTGCAGGATTACAAATACATTAAAAATATATTAAATATATTTTAATAAAGTAAATAATAAAAAATATCAATACTACTAATTAAATAATAATAAATAAATTAATAAGTATTAACAAAATAAAAAATATATAGAATATATAGAATAAAATATATGGAAAATATACAAGCTAAAATCCTAAGGCATCACAGTGCCCAGGTTATTAGCACATGCTGCAGTGTGTGGTGCTGGGCTCTGAGCACTGGCCAGGTTCAGCCAGAGCAGAGCATTTGTGCAGCCTGCAAGCACACTGCCCATTCCACATGCATGATACACGTGCTGTGCTTGGCAGTTCTGTGTTATGTTTTGCTGCAGATATATTTTGCAGATTTGAGCAGAACAAAACCCAAAGCAATCTAAAAATCCCGTGCCCTTCACTTTAGCTCCCGGTGTGTAAGACAATAGCCCTGCTAGGAGACCTGTCTGTGCTCAGGAGGGAAAGCTGTGCTCTGCATCCTGTCCAGGACCTCCACAGAAACCCCTTCAGCTGGGGACACCCCTCCCATGTGACAGCACAACACAAACTGATCACACTGCAGGTAAAATCTGCCAAGGAATTTTGATCATGGGTGCAGGTGAATTACCCACAGAAATAGCAGGAACTGGAAGACAAGGGCCTTTTCCACTGGACACATGGAAGTGTGTTAAGGCAGTCTGCAGAAAGATGTTTCCAAGTCTATGATTTACCTTTCTGCTCAGGACTATTATAGACATGGCTAAGACAATGCAACCTTCTGGAAAAACAGAAATATGTTCTTTTCCATCTCTCTTTCATCAGGGAAGGTTTATAAGCTATGTACAAACTATTGCAACCTGGCTTACTTTCCCAAACAGTTAATCAAGCTTGCCTTATTTCAGGACCTATCTTCTCTGCTGTTTTCACCTAATGCCTAACTAATACTTTCAAGTTGCCCATAACCTTCAGATTTAAGCTTTGAAACGCTAATAAATAATAACCACATAATAACTCTTTTGGAGTCCTAGTTCTTTGAATTCCTTATTCAGGTGTTCTCCAGCAGCAACTCTCCTGATCTTTCTGTTGCAAGCAGGGATCTTTGGTTGAATAATAATTTTCTTGATTTTACTACTTTTCATTTCATTACCTTGTAAGCAATGCTGATTCTGGAACAACAACAACAACAAAAAAGTAGTCTGATTGAGCATGTATTAGTTGTAGTAATATTAATAGCATTAATTATAATACTTAATAATGCTGGCATGTATTTTGTTTGAAATGCTTTTTCTTAATGCAAATGTATATTCTGCTTGATTTAGAGGCTAATTATATTTTATGAATCAAAGTACGAAATTTGAAATTCAAATTTCAGCTGAAGACCCTCAAATGACTGTGAAAATTCAAATGCTTATGTTGGTGGCAATCAAAATTTAGCATGCATTGAAGAGATATATTATGTCAGCTGCATTATGACAAAGAAGTAGAAGTCACATATGGCTCAATTTTTCCAAATCCATTTTCCCAAATAGCAATTTCATAAGTGTTTAGAAATTTAATTTGCCAATTCAATTTTAACTGGTATGTTGTAACTACAATGGGAAGTTGAACTTCAGCCTTTGTTGCTTTCATTCAGGACAAGAATGGGAGTAAAAAAGCCAGGGTTTGGTAAGTCTTTAACATTCCAAACATTTTTTCAAAATTATTAGTGAGGGATGAATCTTACATCATGCTTTGGAAGTTACCAGACTGACAGAGCAATTATGAACATTTGAACAAAAGCCTTCACTTTCACATTTCACTGGCAAATAACTTGAAAAGAAATCCCCAATTGCAATAGTATTCACCTAAATATTCTCATTCTTTTGCTCAGGGTATTAATACTCAGGCCTTCAGCTCTGCAGCACAGCTAATTAGAAACTCACTGATCAAAGTTTCCTCAGCAAATGAGGAGCCCAACATGTTTAATTCAAAAGATCTCAGAATGATAAGCCTGAGAGATGTTTGCATGTGTTTCCAGCACATGCTTGGGTTGCTGGCAGACTGAAGATCTGACCTTTCCTGCATCTGTGCCCCTGTCCTGCTCCCTCAGATGGGATTTCTGTGGCACTTCTGTGGCTGGGTTCAGAGCCCTGCCTGACTTTCCAGGGTGGGTACAGGACAGGACATGGTCCCAGACAGCTCCAAAACAAAGCCTTGATGCTCTGCACCCATGGAGATAATTCATCCAGGAAACACCTAACAGTTGCCTGAGGAAGTCTGAAATGGTTTTAACCCTAATGTGAAAACGAAAGCTTTATATGAGCCCAGACAGCCAGTGCTTTGAACACGTGCCAAAACGGCAGCTATCCCCTTGTGACTGTTCACCCAGGGCAGGATTTGCTGAATTCCCAAATCCTTGAGAGGAGTATTTTTCATGCCAGAAGAAAACTGCTCCCTTCCCCAGTGTAAAGGTTGTCTTGCCTTCCACCACTAACCTCTTACCTCCGTTTCTGAAAATACTTTCTCAGCAATGAAAGGTGACAGTTTTAGCCTCTGAGAAAGGACTCCTACATAAATAGAATTTGACCTACACAAATCTTATTTACTGGTGGTTTCTGAAATGTGTTCTGTTCACAGATAGATGATGTCTTTTTATCCCCCTTGTTCTGCCTACACCACTTTTCTGGTCCTTCAGAGATACATGAAAGCAAAGGCCACACTACAGCCTTGAAGTACAGGGCCACAGGCTCTCTATGTAATTTCTAGTTAGAACTGCTGTTGTGCTCAGGAAGAGATAATAGATGGGTAGGAGGAATTTGAGGAGCTTGTTGACAGATTGAGTCAAATTGTGAATATTATTTCTGTATTATCTAGGCTTAAAGAGATTGATTGAAGCAAACAAATTAATGATTTTTTTTTTCTTTTTATTTACAGTTGTAATAATAGTGGTATTCCCTCCTAGGCTGCTAGAATGAGCCCGGAAAAAGTTCTAATAACAAATCACATCAATCAGGGGAAATATTACATCTCCGTAAGAGGTTCTCATTTTCCAGAGTAACCATCCCATACATTTTGCGTCAGAAACACAATTGCGGTGATGGAGTTAATCAGGCGGCGGCAGGGCGCAGCGCCCGTGGGTGCCGCTGTCAGCGCGGGCCCCAGCAGAGCGCGGGGCTGCGGGCCGGGCGCGGCCGCCGCCCGCCTTACGGAACAGCTCACAGAGCAGCCGGCCTCTCCTGGCCGCGCTGCTTGCGGGACTGCCTGAACCAAGCGCCTGCCTATCTCTGTTGCGGTTCCGCGGCGTGAGATCAGAAACTGTGGAAGAAAAGAAAAAACCTGTGAAAAGAACCGCCTAGTGCAGTGAGGCCGCCCCTGTGGCAGCCGCCGGCCGGGCAGGAGGCGATGGGTTTAGAGCGCCGGCAAAGCGCGTGCGGCGCCGGGGGAAGGCATTACCGGAACGGGTCAGTGTCCCGGCGGACCGAGGCTCGGCCGGGCCGGGCGCGCTCCCCGCGCGGCTCCGGGCCGGGCGGCGCGGCTGACGTCAGGACGGGGCTGGCGCTGCCCGCGGGCGGAGCGGGGCCGGCGGCGGGCGCGGGGAGAGGCAGGTACGGCCGGCGGCTGGGCTGGGGCAGGGCCGGCGGGGACGGGAGCCAAGGGGGCCCGGCTCCAGGGGGCGGCCCGACCGCCGCTAGCCCCGCCAAGGTCAGCGGGACGCAAACCCGGCCGGGAGCGGTGCCGGGACCCGGCTGTCGGCGGCGGGGAGGGCGAGAGCGGCTCTCGGGGCGGCCCAGGCCAGGCCAGCCCAGGCCGCTGCTGGGCGGAGCTGGCGGGGACGGAGCGGAGCCGCCGCCGTGCCCCGCCGGGTAGAGGCGCGGTGGGCCGGGGGCTGCCGTGGGGCTGTCCCGGTGGGAGCGAGCACCGCCCGGGCAGGGTCGGGACGGAGCGCGGGGAGCTGCCCGGAGAGCGCAGACAGCTCCCGGGGAAAGGGCCTGCGCAGCTGGGCCGGAGCCAGGCAGTCCAGAAATAGCAAAGTTGCGCTGTTGAGAGCGGGAGGGGCCGGGTAGGTTACGTCTGGACAGTGTGCTTCCCGCACTCTGCCCAGGTGCGGAGAGTAAAGTCACCGCGGGGAGTCTGCGGGCACCGCCGGCTCAGCTCCGCAGCTGCCTCTGGTGCCTCAGCGCTCTCCATCTGCACGGATTGCAGGGTCGGGCCCACTGCTAGCTCAACTGCTGATTACAAGCTGCAGGGAGAAACACTTGTTTTATTTTAAAGTGTGTTTTATCAAGAAGGGAAGTGGAACAGACTGTTGGGTATTCAACATTATATTCCATGCAGAAAACTGCTGTTCCAGGGAGCACTCCTTTGCTGCATCTATTTCTAACTTGAGTTCAGTTTAGAGTGCTACTACTCTTAGATTTCAGTCACCAGAACACTTTTATTCATATTGGTTATAAATTAATTTATCTTTGGTTAAGTGCCATTTTTCATGTTGGTGGCACTGGGCTGGTTTAACAAGCAAATACTACTCAGATGCAGCTGATCTTGCTAGGATATCTTCTAGCTCTGCAAATACACTTTTAAACATCATGTAGGAGGAGTGTGAATACTGTACAGGACTTCAAATGAGCCCTTGTGCTTAAAAAGGACAAGGAAGAATATCTAATTGTTTTTGCACCTCCTACTTTAAGTGCTGACAGATTTTTCTGTGTGATTCCTTGCTCGTTCTCCAGAGCTGAAGTTTTGGGCACTTAAACTCTGAATTGGGAAAGGGTATTTATTTGCTGTCTCCGAGGTTACATGCAAGGTGCTGTACAGCTGCTGAAGCCCCGTTTGCTCTTGCAGCTTTAGACAGCTCTGAGAAATTCTGAATGTGAGACTTCATGAGCTGTTCTGCAATCACAGGCAAAACTCAGTTTTTCAAGAGAGAGGTTTTCTTTGGTTCTTCCCCTTTTTGTGTCTAAGTTAAATCTAATGCTATTGTGTAACAGAGTTGGTTTAAAGGTAGCAACAACATTCCACTAGTGTAACAGTTGCAGCAGAACTGAAGTTCATGCAAATTGTTTTCTGGCTTGTAGCCTAGGAAACAGTCTCCAGAAATAATGATTTCACCTTATTGGGCAAACTGGAAGACATGGAAACATAGAGACACTCATTCCTGTGAAAATGAAGAGCAAGTAGACTGCTTGTAAAGGAGAATCAAGGGGACAGAAACCTGGGTTGGGGTGGTGGCAGAATGAGCCTCAGGTCCTTTGTGCTGCTCTGTTACTTTGGAAGAATTAATTGGCCTCTATTTCTGGAGCTCTCTCTCTGTATAGGGGTGACAAGAGCATGTGACCAGGGGGGACCAGGACCAGGTGACCACAATTAAAGCAGAACAGAAGTCTGACATTCCCTTTCAGAAGCGGGCTCTCAGCAGAATCTTTCTTTTCCCAGCAAGCTGGTACAAAGTCAAGAGTAAGAGGTTTATCCAGGAGTTCAAACTTTACCTGAAGGTGGTTCTCACCATCATATCCAAGTCTGTGCAGGATGTGGCAGTCCTTAAATATGAAATCCTGATGGTTATAATCTTGTGTGCTACAGTATTTGCCCAGTAGTCTAAGAGGACACAGCTACGAGTAATAATCCATAGATCAGAAAATAGATGGATGCCTAGTAACTTCATATTTTACTAGAAGATTACCATAAGAGGCTTATCCTGGAGTTCCACCTGAAGGTGGTTCTCACCATCATATCCAAGTCTGTGCAGGATGTGGCAGTCCTTAAATATGAAATCCTGATGGTTATAATCTTGTGTGCTACAGTATTTGCCCAGTAGTCTAAGAGGACACAGCTACAAGTAATAATCCATAGATCAGAAAATAGATGGATGCCTAGTAACTTCATATTTTACTAGAAGATTACCAAACTATTCTTTTTCTCCCTTCTCCTCAGCTTTAAACATATTCTGCTGAGGTTTGTCTGGGAGAAGTTCTTCTGTTTATCAAATCTACTATGCCACCTTTCACCCCCTCATGCCCCTCCCTTTAAGCTGCCACAAGTAGAATGTTATTTGTTAGGTTTCAATGTTGTGTCTGTCTCTCCCATTGGCTTACAGGCCCCACAAATAATTTCTAAAAAGCAGCCTTCTCAGGGGAGGCTTAAAATGCTTGTGTTCTTCCTTTTCAAGTTCAATTGCATCGGGATAGTTGAGTTTTTATAATCTCTTTAAAAAAATAATCAGAACACAATTAGGCTGTAAAATAAATTCACATTGTCCAATATATCCCATGTTTGATGTCTTTTTTCAACATGCTCATAAACCAGAATGCAGTGGCTGACTATTTAATGTCACGTGTGATGACTTGAATTTAACACCGAGTCCTTGCCATGATATTTCAAGCTTCATTTAAAAGCTGAGGAGAACTGAGAATCTTACTTTATAGTCTCATCTTTTACTTTAATTCTTAGAGCGAGCTAGTGATGATTTGAAAGAAATATAAGTCATAAAAACAGCCTTCTCCTTCCTGTTTAAACTGTTTCAGCTTTTGTTTTGACTGGACTTTGAGCCAGTGAATGAAAAACACAGAAGAGGAAGTACAGGGGAAAAAAAAAAAAAGGTAGGTAGAAGTGCTTGGTAACTTGAGACTGCAGAATACAGGATGTACACGTATGCAGAGAGAAGGGCTTTGAAAGGAACTGCTGGTGAGGCAGGAAGCAGTCATTGCAGGCTGTCTCTTCCCCATTTCTGAGGGCAGCAGCCGTAGGGTTCTGTTTGCCAGTTAAACATCAAGGTGGTCTCTGACAGTCACGCTGGATCGCAGCAGTTGCTCTTTTGTTACATCCTACACCACCGGTTGTGCTTACTGAGTATCTTCAGCTGGGATCTGCTGCATCTCTGCAACATGAGCTGGGTGCATGCAGCTCTAATAGATGGCACTGAGATGCCTCTTTCTAATGTATTATTGTGAAATACTGACAACTGCTTTTCTCCCTCCTCCCCCTTCCTCTTCTGCTCACTAGATTAAGCAACAATGGCATTTGTGAAGAGTGGATGGCTGCTCCGGCAAAGTAAGTCATGGGTCTTTCTCTTCCTTCTCTCCCTCTTCACTGGGATTTCTTCAGAAAACATCAGAGCAGCTGATGTTGGAGTAATTCCTAGGTTTTCTTAAAACAAGTAGTTCTGTGGGTTGTTTTTGTTGTTTTTTTCCTTTTTACTTTAAGGATACGTCACACAATGACGTGTAATGACGGCATTCCCATGTGACCTTTGGGTGCTCCCAGGATATATTCCTGTTTATATCCTGGGAAACAGGATATAAACATATCTGAGGTGTCTGACTGGCATTCAGCTTCAGATGCTGCTCTGTAATTAGTGCTGTGTAAGTGGGGACTTGAAAACTTTACCTGACACCTCAACTTTGTGTCTTTCAATTAATCATGCCCTCTGCATGTTCCTGCAGCAAGTTAGAACTCAAGCATTAGGTCATACACTTAAAATAAAACCAGCTTTGCTTTGAATTCTACATGAAATATGGCACCCAATTCCCAAGTGGGGATATTGTAATACAGGATTTTGCTTGGCACTTTTGGAATGTTGTTTGGGGCAACTGTGAAGGATTTCTTGGTTTATTAACTTTAGGACAGAAATATTTCCTGATATGTGCCCTCAAGAGTGACTGTCTGATTTTTAAGGTACTATTTTACGGCGTTGGAAGAAGAACTGGTTTGATCTGTGGTCTGATGGCCGCTTAATATTCTATGATGATCAAAGTCGCCGTGATCTAGAAGATAAAATCCACATGCGAATCCACTGCATCAACCTCAGAGTGGGGAATGAATGTCGAGGTAATAATGAAACTTTCAGGATTTGTGTATCCAGAGATGCTTTACAACTTCAGTGCCTGCCCAGCATACCACATAGAGCACTACTGCAGATGTAAACGTGTCCAAAGTGTGTGCAACTTCACTGGTCTTGAATCCCCCACCTTCCAAAAAAACTCAACCCCACCAACTCCTAAATTGCTTTAGAGATACCCAGGGTGTGGTATCACCATGTGATAGGTTAGGTTAGGGTTTGATACTTCCTGTTAAAACTCAGTGAGGACAGTGTACCATGCATGCAGGAGGATGGGATGTTCCCAGCAGGACTGTGTGTCTCGTACAGAGCTTTCCTGGCTAACCACAGTGCTGGCTGGACAGAGAGGCACGGCTAGAAATGGGAAACCTCAGCAGATGTTTTTCCTAAGTTCCTTCTGGCATTTGTTAGTGCTCCACTTGGTGCTGACACAAGGGAAGGACACAAATGCTGGAGAGTACCTGCTGCTAAGAATGGATTGGTTTTGCTGTGAGACACTTGCATTTCATAGGGAAGGTGTTCAGAGCTGCTTACTTTCAGGACACTCTGCAGAGTAAGAACAGGTTATTTCATTCTGGGGCTCATTCTGATGTTGTGGAAGGCAGCTACAACTGGCCCTAGTTTATTTTGTCCAGACTTGCTTAAACTTGCCTCCCTTCTTGTACATGTGCTCATGTAATGCTGTTTATATTCATAACTCATCTCTGTTTTCTCACTCAGATTTCCAGCCTCCAGAGGGGAAGCAGAGAGACTGTTTACTGCAGATTGTTTGCCGTGATGGGAAGACAGTCAACCTCTGCGCAGAGAGTGCAGATGACTGCCTGTAAGACAGCCAGAGAATAATGGCTTTGATGCTTCTCCCTCTTTTATCCTTCTTTATCTCCCTCCCTAGTTATTTTCCTCCCTCCTAACTTTCAGAGAAATGTTTAAAGAAAGTTTTCAAGCAAATAAAAGCAGGTTTTCAGTGACCAACCCAATATATCTCCTAGAAGTTGTCTAGCTCATGCAAACTAACTGCAAGTTAAGTCACTGAAACACTGAAGGGTGAGGAGGAGTAGAAGAATATGATTACTATGATTAATGCAAGACTTGTAGAACAGATTTTTTTAAGCTTTTGCCATTCTTCAAGAGCACATGATGTGGCATTAGCCCAAGGACATCCCAGCAGCAATAGGAGGAATATTCCATGATTGTGAACTCTCAGCTGAACTGGGCTGTGTAGAATTAGGTAACTTCTGTGATCATTGTTTGCCAAGAAGTGGCCATGTGGAGCATGGTCCCAGCCCCGTGGCAGGGGAGGAGCTGGGTGAGGTGTTCCTGCCTCCTGGGAACAGCAGCAAGGCCTCTGCTCTAATCAGCACAGATGCGCTGTTCTGCTGGGGTGCATCTCTTCTCATTACCTCATCCTAAGCAGGATTGCATATTTCCCACCTGTTGTGCTTGCAACAAGGACTCCAAAACTGCATCCATTCCTCCTCGGTTCCTGCCTCCAGCAGGAACTCTGCTCTAATCAGCACAGATAAGCTGTTCTGCATCTCTTCTCATTACCTCATCCTAAGCAGGATTGCATATTTCCCACCTGTTGTGCTTGCAACAAGGACTCCAAAACTGCATCCATTCCTCCTCTTGCTCCTCCTCATTCTTTCTCAGCTCTGCAAAGGCAGTAATTATTTCTTAGTCTTGATGTAACGCTTTTGTGCATTCATTTGAGTTCTCATTAGGCTTTGACACATGCAGTACCTAAAAGTCTGCTCCTGCAGTACCTCTAGTTGCTAGCCTTGTTTGTGTCATTGACCTGAAAGAAAAAGGTGGCATTAATTTTTATCAGTGTTCCACTAACCAATGGGTTTTTATTTGCAGGGCATGGAAAATTGCTCTCCAGGATGCCAGAACAAACACAGTGAGTGTCCTACCTAGACTTTATAGTGATAGAGAAGCAGCACATCAGTGTTCTGTGTGGTCCAGCAGTTTAGTTCTGAAATCATGTTCCATTCTTCTCTGCTACAGAAAAACAGGGTCATGAGCATGATAGTAAAGCTTGTGGGTGGGGAGGAGAATGATTCTCTGGATCACAAACACATCCTTGCAGCCACGTCCAGGCAAATACATGCTGTGTGGAAAATAATGATTTAAAGGAATGATTTCTCTAGGTGGAAGTGAATGTTTGGAAAGCTGGTCTGTGGGCATTGAGGCTGTGGGCAATAAGCAAATCTTCTGCAACCAGCAAAAATGAACTTTTCACTCCTAGTGTTTGTTGCCTCCCAGGTGGGTGCAGTGCTAAAGGAAGCTTACTACACAGCAGCTGTTTGTTAATGTAGATCCATCCCACTGTGGGATGCTTCTTGGCACCAACATGGGGAAGAGTGAAATGCTTGGAGGGGAGTGCAGGCATGCTGAAGAGGAGTGTATTACCTCTGCATTTTCTGCAATTTGTTTTTCCTTTAGGCTGCCTTCCAGAGTACTCTGCAGCTTTCCTTGGATGACTAGGCTGAACCAACCCGAGGTGTTTCTGTTCCAGGGGAAATGCTGTGTTTTGTAGAAGCTTATCTCAGTTTCTGATGGGTCACATAAACATTGCCACTCTGCTGGGGCATCTGTCAGATGATATAACTTAGATTTGTAGATACCCAAAGCAAACACATGTCGTGGCACAACTACCCCAGACATGACTGCCTCTGTCTGCAGCCAGGCTACACTGCCTGTGGCCTTAAATGAGAACTGAAGGATTTGTCCTCATGCAGAGGACACAACACTCATGCTCTGTCTGCTCTAGTTTTAGGGGATTTATCTCACCTGTGTGTGAGATGGTGGCTCCTGGTTTCAGGAAATGGGAACTGCTGTTTTCATGCCTCTGACACTGGTGCCAGCCTTGATAGACGGCTCAGAACGTGGCAGTGCTGACCTTGGTCAGCCAAGGCAGACCCCAAGGCTACTCAGGTAGCCCTCTACACAAATTAATACACGTATTACATAAATTAACATCTTCCAAAGCTATTAAAGATGTCCAATGAGGACTTGGACTAACTGGGGAAGTGGGTTTGAGTCTGTAGGTGTGTCACACACTTTTCAAAAATTCCAAGCATCCAGCAGTACCTCCTAACTTCACTGGAATAGTGGGGTGATCACCTTGGCTTTGAGAACTGTATCATTTACAGGTTTGCAGGCTTGTGCATTGCTTGTACAGAGATCCTTGTGGCAGGGCAGAGCACATTTACTGCTAAGATATGAGCAGATTTCTCAGGTGATGGAAATACCACTTCATATAATATTTTAACAGTGTTTCAAGCAGTCCTTAGAATCTTCACCATGAGTTTGACTTGGGATATAACCATATTATGTCCTCAAATGCCATGATTTCATCAGTCCAAGAGACAATACAACATTTGCTGTTGATTTATTAAAATGTTCCCTTGTGAATTAAAGAATGGGAGCTGGCTTTTCCCTTGGAAAAGGGAATAAGAGCATCACTGTAGATTTTGGATATTAGGGGCAAGAATACAAAGCTAGTGTAAGAAATCTTAATTGTCTTTGAGAACTTATTCTAAATGGACTCAAGTGTTACCACCTCTGCCTCAGAGGTACCACTCAGGTACCACTTTTGGCTACTGCATTTGTTTCCTTTACCTGCTTCTGCAGAAGTTGGTGATACCAAGTCATCACTTAGTGATACAATAACTCTAGGGTGCCAGGAAGCAGCCAGTTTAGTTGTGAAGATTTCTTTATCTGAAAACAGAAAATGAACAGGAGGGTAATTTCTAGATCTGAGGCTCTGGAATTGTGGAAGGAGCCAGGGTGCTTGCATGTACACATATGTGCATATTTCCCTGTCTGTGGCACACACACAAGGAAAAATTTGATGGCTCCTTTCTGTGGCTGATCAGGAATTTGTATTCTCCCAGGTCTAGTCTCCAGGTACTTTCTTTCTGCAGCCTTTACAAGGTACTCACTGCTTTCTTAACATGCAGTGTGGCTAAAGGTTACTTTTTCTTTGGGGTGATTAAGTTTTAATCCTTAGACTGCTCTGTCTGTCTGTAGGAACAGGTGATAACTGCTCGCTCTCCTTGGTGTTTAGGGCTACGTGGGATCTGATGTGGTGTATGATGAGACAGCCATTTCCTCAGCCCCTCCTCCCTACACAGCTTATGCCACACCATCACCTGAGGTAAGAGTTGCAGTCAGGAAGCATTAACATGAGTGAAGCAGCAGGAGCAGCCTCCTTCAAGCACTCACAAAGTGCTCTGCAATGTACTCTTACACCCAGCTTTAAAGTTTTTTCAACAGCAGAGAGTAAGACACTATCAGTCTATTGCTGCTCTTATTTGAGATGGATTTCCTTTGAAAAGGATGAGACACATTTGGTTGGGAGGTGTATAAAGGTGTGGCTGCTCAGAGCTTGAAAAATAAAGCTTCTGAGAGACAGAATTTATTTGGCTGATCTTCAAATATATTGGTTGTGCAGCTTCTAACATAAGGAGGTGTAACTACACTTTGATGTTGTGCAAGCACTGGAAAGGTGTAAGATCAGGAGTTTTAGAAATAGGGTGTACTGGAATAGCCACTTTTAATATGTAAGGATTTTGTACCAAGATGTCACAGCAACACAATAACTCTAGTTCCTGGATACACAGTTCTTTTGCAGTGAAGGAGTAAGCTTTGGCACCAACCAGAATATGTTGGGGAATTCTGGATGTGCTTAGTGATGTGCAGTAATATGTTAGGGGATAGTTTGGAGCACTATTGCTTGTTGCACTAGCTGCTCCAGCCTCTCATTCTTGTTAAGAATGAGTTGTGGTGGAAGCTTCCTCTGTGCAGCCTTCTCTTTTGGAGAAAAAAGTGAAATACAATGAGAAAAAAAAAACGAAAAAAAAAGAGAAAAAATGTATGCTTCTAAAGCATACAGCTCTAGAGCATTTATCTTTAATCTGACATTTGCTTGCAGTGTACCCTCTTGGAGGGCTGGCTGGATTTTTTTGGGATTGGCTGCTGCCTTCCTGGCACTTCTGAGCTCCCCAGAGAGCTGCTGTTGGCATGAGGGCAGAGAGGAGAAGCTGGCAGGGCTGCTGTGCCTCTGCCTGATGATCCAGGCCCTGCCTCTGCTGTTGCCTGTCCAGGAAAGGAAGACAGCAAATGCTGCTTAGGAGTGCCTTTTTTTTTCAAGCAACTGTTCTGAATTCATTCCAGGGAGTAGATTGGCTATAGCAGGACAGCCTGAATAGTTTGGTTAAATTTTAATTACATTAGACACGAAGGCAGATTGAACAGGGTGCTTGATTGGATCCCTAGCAGAGTGCACTTGTGTAACAGCCCTTTTTAATCTCCCCAGGTTTATGGCTATGGCTATGATCAGTACAATGGTGCGTACCCCCCTGTGGGCCCTCAGATCTTCTATGCCTCCAATGGACAAGCTTATGCTCTGCCCTACCAGTATCCATACCAAGGTAATCAGCCACATCCTCCACCTTTCCAAAGAAGCTATTTGAGTCAATATTTCTTGCTTCAGCTCTATTAATCACCATCCTTTACCAGCCACCAGTCCTGCACACAGAGAAAAAAACCTGACCTGGAACTGGAAGCCAGTCCACTCACCCTTTCACAACAAGGGGACTGCAGTGAAATTGCTCTTAAGGGATTTAACCTTCCCAATGTGATCTCAGCATAGTTACATTGCTTTATAAACTCCTTTTGAAGCATACAGCATGTTTCCTAAGGAAATGTATAAGAGCCAGAAGATGTGATTCTGTGATTCAGTACTCCATATTGGGCATTGATGGAGATTTTCATTCATCTGTTGCTTTTAAACCTAGTTTAATTATTTAAACACAAGTTTCAAAGGTAAATTCACTCCCAGAACAAGGTTGTAGCTGGTTCCTTCCCCATGTGCTAGAACTGCTGTAAGGCAGCATTTCAGCCAAATGATATCTTCTGTTGCTCTGTCCAGGTTTGTATAGCTTTAAATCTCAAAACCAGGAAGCAAAGAGTAAAATTGTAGGGTGTGCTTTTAATCAGTCACCTTAATTTAGGGTTAGTTTTGCACAGAGCCCCCGTCCTACAGAAATGGGGCTTTAGAGTCGTATGGTAATAAAAATGAGAAAATGAATTGTTTATGATCTGACTGCAAACAAGAATCTCTACTGAGAATATTTTATTTATTACATCTTTTGAGGGAGATTTTGTTTTCCATTTGGCATTTTTCAGGTTATTTCACTTGCCTTTTCCATTTTTTTGTTATAAGGGAGGTGCATCAGCCTTTAAAGCTTTTAAAGTTTTCTTCATGTAAGTTACTGAAATCCTAAGGTACAGATGATACATATTCAAACACAGAGGAATGTGTGTCCTGTTGGCTCTGAAAAGCAGTAGCTTTTTAAAAACCCAAGAACTGTTTTTAAAAACTTCCAGCAGGCCAAACCCATATGATAACAATGCAGCATCAAGCAGCCATGAGCAGTTTGCAAGTGCAGTGTGTTAAGGTACTGGTTACTGGTTGGGCATAGTAACCAAGGCTCAGTGGTTTCCTTCACCAGAGTCACAACAACTAAACCTTAGGGCTCAGATTCACCACAGCACCTCACTTAACCCTGTCCCTTCAGCTCTGCTGCTCCTTCTCTGCAGTGACATAGTCCTTCTCAGGGGGGAGAGTCATGCATTGTTGAGAGTCAGTGAAAGCCTTTCCTAGTTGTATTTAGTTGGATTACTTAAGAATCTGTTACAAAACACCATTGTGAGATTTTCAAGGATATTTAATCTCCCTGAAATGTCTGGAAGGGAAACCAGTACTGTTATGTTTGCTTTGCAATTAGGAGTTGAATCAGAAAACATGACAGGTGAAGCTGTTACAAGGCTGTTACAGAGCAGGGGTCAGTTGGTGGCTTCTTGAGTCCAAGTTAATTTCTTACTACTGGCTAATCTTCATCTGAACAGAAATGTAGCAGCCGTCACCACCCCACAGATCAGTCCAAGGTGTGAAGGCTGAATTGCAGTAGGCAGTAAATGTAAATAACTGATGCAGTTTCAGACAAATGACTGGCTTGAGACCTGCCAAAGATTTTTTCAGAGGGAGGGGGTAAGGGGGAAGAATTAAACTATTTGCCTTAACTTCAAGGCTGAATCAATTTTTAGACCCATTTCTTACATTAAATCCACAAAGTGAATACAAGTAATTCATAGGGTCTTTGCAGAACAGTGTTCACTATTACATTTGTGATGAGTTTTCCTCACAGATATTAAGCTGTTACAGGGCTAGAAGTGTTGCTCGGATTTAATTAATGTGGAGGCTGAATCCAAGGCAGAAATGTATCCTACCTGTGCAGCTGACAAAATACTAGTATTCATTTGAAGGAGGAAGGTGAAAGAACAGCCTGTTTTGAAATTGCAGCGCATGCATTAAGATAAACATTTCTTTTGCCCTTCTCCCAACAACCTCTTATTTCCTAGGACCTTATGGGCAGCCCCCTGCAAACCATGTCATCATCCGAGAGCGTTACCGTGACAGCGATGGAGACCTTGCACTGGGCATGCTGGCTGGAGCAGCAACTGGAATGGCTCTGGGGTCACTCTTCTGGGTCTTCTAGATTCCCCTTTCCTTATCTCTGTAGTTCCAAACCCCTTTATTGTGTGCAATAATATATTGGCAATGTTGTTTACTGTTAAACTTTGAAAAATGCAATAGTTATTTTTCAGTAGTGACATCTTAATAACTGATTCTTAACTGTCTTAATGAGAGTTTGAAGGCACCATTTAGTTACGTGGTTGGAAATGGCACGTGCTGCTCTTGAATTCTGGTCTCATGTTCAGGATCAACATGAGCACCAGTGTCACGTGGTAGCAGTCACTGCTTTATGAATAGACTGTTATTGTAAACACCATAGGAAAAAAGATTTTTTTTGGAGGGGGGAGGGGTCTAAGGTCTAGTTCAAATAAGAGATTAACAGGAGTCCTGCATTAGTATACACATACTACTGGCTTTTAAACATTCCCTGGAAAAACATAGAGCTCAGCAAAGATTCCTTGGCATTAGACAGTCTGCCATGCTTGAGGTTTGTTTTTTTTTCGTTTTCAGACTTGCCTGCAGATGGTAGTGTGTTTTCTTAGGTGCAGCCCTGTACCTGCCCCTCACACCATCCAGGTGAAGTTGTCTCTGAGAATGTATGAGCAAACCACTAAGAAGCAGCAGCACTCCTCAATTCTTTTATTCTCCCAGAAATGTGAATGACCAGTGGCAAGGAAGAGCAGTGTTTGTTGTTCCAGCTCCCTCTTTATCCTGGATGACTCTTCTCTGGTCAGATGGAAGTACTGGATCTTTAGCTTTGCAGGTGTCTGCAGAAAGCAGCTTCAGACACTGCAGCAGCTGCATTGTTAGGAGCTAGCCATTGTCTCTGCTCCTTACTGCCAGGGCTCTGCAGAGGCTGCAGGAGGAGAAGGAAAACTTGAACAGCCCTTGCTCTGTTGGCCCTGCCAGCCCCTCTGCAGGCAGGAACAGGAGGGGAGAGACAAGCAAAACAAGTAGACCTTGCACACAGGCACTTTGATATCAGCTGCCTTGCAGGGCTAGGATAAGATGGCTGCCTCTTAGCCACCAAGGTTTGCTGAACCAGGTTCCTTATTTGCAACTAATTTTCAGCACAGCTGAGCCTGGGTTTGTTGTATGTACATTTCCCCCTCACATTCAGCAGGTCTCCTCTTCCCTCCATGACTTGTTGAGGAAAACACTCCAAGGAACCTGTCTGGCTTTGCTTGTATGTGTGGTTTCTCTACACAGCATGCTGTCCCGTGGAGTGCAGCTGTTTTGTGTGTGTTACATGGCCTGTTTTAATCCATGCTGAGCTGTGCTTGGCAAGGAAAGAAAGCTCTGAAGAAATGCATGGGCTTTCTTGTTCAGGTAAATGAGGCAGGGTGCCTAAGCTGAGCTCTTATAGTAAGAGGACTTATTTTTATACTTCCACTTTTAGCTTCCTGTATTCGCATACTGGTTTAATGTTAAGTCTTACTTATGCTTCCATTTAGAAGAAGGTTAATTTCCTTATGGTTCACAGGGTTTCATGTCAGGAAAGATGAAAATAGATGAGAACTTGCACCCATATAAATTTAGCTGAAGTCCCAATCTTCTCTATTTCATCCTAAAATTCTCTTGGCTCTGTCCCACTTATTTAAGCAATAGAGGTCCTGGACAAGAGTTTGGGTAGCAGCACTAGGCTTTCATGAGCCTTAGGACTAATTCAAACAAGTGGAATCACTGGAAGTAAACAGACAAATGTCATTGTGGCTGCTTTACTAGGAGTGGCCTAATCCAGGGAAGGTAAACTGCCTTCAGGATGCTGGTTCTGAGCTGTACACCAGTGTGCAAGCATGTCCTTTCACAGGTTAACACAAGCTGCACGTGTTCAGCCAGTCAAACGTACTGAAAGGATGTTCTGGAAGTGCAAAAAAGGACTGAAGTGAAAGTTTCCTATTGCTAGTCCAAACCAAAAGAAATTGCAGTACACTACTGAAGCTCTCTTAGAGACCCTGAGGTCAGAAAGGGATGGAATGTAAGTGGACAAACATGTCTGCCCTTTTAAAAAGCCCTTTAAGAGGTGAGTTTGATTACAGGTCTATGCTGCTGTTTGGGTTGTTCTGCAGAACGCCTCCATCTCCTCCTAATCCTCTGTGATTCTTAACTTGTAAGGAGTGGGGGAGAATAAAACCACTGGGCATCATATGACTTTCTGAATTTCCTAGTGCCTGGGAAAGGATAAGAAAAAGTGAATGAGCTGGGTTTTTTATTTTGGTTTGGGCTTTTTTTTCAGAAGAACAGTTAGTCACAGCAGGGGAACATGTCTTTTGTGTTTTCAGGAGATAACTCTGTCTAGGTCCCTAGTTTCTTCAAGTGAAGTATATAAAATAAAGATTGTTGATTGCAAACCATTCCTGGGTTGAAAACAAAAAAAAAATAGTATTTTTAAAAGTTGAAATTGTAAGTAATTCCCCATTAAGAAAATAACCTTACATTTCTCAATGGAAAAATACACTACAATTAGAAGCCAAAGATTGTAGTTTCAGCTTGGAAACAATAGGTTGCTTTTATACAACAGTCATGAACTATTTTCTATCTCAGAAGCACAGGCATTTAGAACCCAGAAAGCAAGTGTACAAGCTTGTGCTAGAGCCTGAAATCAAGAGCACAGTTATCTCCCTGCAGGTGCTTGTAGCCTTTCTGATCTCACTGCAGAGACAGAAGTGGCAACATCCTGGTGCACAAAGCAGCAGCATGGATTGCCATCTTAAGTCCCTGGTTGCTGAAGCTCAGACTTGCTTCCTGAAGACAGGCCCATGTCTCCTGTTGCTCAGGAACAGAGCAGAGCTTTGGTCAGATGCACAGGAATGTCTGGCTGGATGCACAGTTGTGACTCAATAGCCTTTTTCTGCACTTCATGTATCTGCAGTTGATGTGGGTGATGCTGTGAGATGAAGGAGATGGGATCTGGGGCTTGCAGGGACAACCATGCCAGGTTCTGCAGACCACTGATACCACAGTCATGGGAAGAGGCTGCAGGGGTGGCAAGATAATTTTCAAAGCAGATTGAAATGATTGTTTCTGAATGGTGCTATTCATTGCTCTAATTCCAGTTATATTTGCATAGTACACATTCCTGCTTTGGGCCCAATAATGAAGCCCCATAAAGCTATGGGAGGTTCACAGGTACCACAGTGGCACTGTTTTTGTGCAGTGGACACTGTCAGGCAAGGATAAATCTGTTGTACAGCAGTGCCAGTCTGTTCAGAGTTGAGGAGGTCATGAGTCCAGATGTTCATGTGGGACTTGTTACTTTTGGGATCGCAGTTATGGACAGCTGGACAGAGCCAGGTTTCCTGAGAGCAGGGTGGGAATGCTCAGCTCTCTGATAAGTCTGACCACATTAAAGAGGTCAATCAGGGTTATTCTGAGTTATATGTGAAAACATAGCTGTTGGCTCCTTTTGTATGAATTTGAGGGAGAGCCAGTCTCTTCCAGTGAGTGGGTAAAGGCTTATGGACTAGGGAGGAGGGGTTGGGCAGAGTTTCTGTACAGAACAACTGCACTGACTTCCAGCAAAGACATACCTCCCCCAGTGCTGAAGCACATTCTGAGCAGTGTCCAGATGGAGCTACCCTGCATGTCATCCAAGCCTGGCTTACTTTGTTCTTCAGTGAAGATTCAGTAGGTGATGGAATCAGCTACGCAAGAGGGGTGGAGGAGAAAATTCACACCCATGTTCCTGAGATGTGTTTGTGCTTCTCCTCCTCAGCATAAGACTGTGCAAATCATGGAGGGTAGCATGCAACAAGTTTCCCTTCCAGAACCTTTATGTTCTTGTGCACTCCCTGTCTTTACTGCAGCTTTTACTGTATGTCCTCATTCTCATTGTTAATTTATAGCAAAATAACCATAGCAATAAAAGTCATATTTAGTGTAATTATTTTGTCTTGACGTGTTTACTAGCCTTCATTCAGCACTTCTCATTTAGCTGGAGTGCAGACAGCTCAGGCTGACATACCTTGGGCATCTCAATTGCCATTTAATAAGCATGATGTAAGGTCTGTGAAATCAGCAAAGCAACTCCACACTAACACCACTATACCAATATTAGAATTAAGACCTATTTCTTTCTAATGGAGTTGAAGGCTTTGACTCTGAAGTGTTTAATCCTGGATATATGCAACACTGATCCAGATTTACCATTTGACATTGTGTTATCAACAGATTTGTACTGTTTAGTGTTAGACTAAGCTGCTTGGAGCACAGATGTTGCTCTGGGCAAAATGCTACTGGTTGCTGTATTGGTATTTCCTGTTTATGAATTGCTTCAGATCAGTTGGGTACAATCAATAAGTCTGCTTTGACAAAGATACTAAATGACCACAGCTAGCCCTGCCTCCTAAAGGCAGACAATCTTGCATGTTTGCAGGGAATTAAACTTCTAGTCCAAAGGATCACAGTACATTTTGTAAAACAGTATCCCTGCTCTGTGCACATTTAATTTTTACTGCTGTGGGGTGGGGTGCGGTGGGTTTTTAGCCTCTAAACTGGGGAAGGAATGAAAACAAAACTGCTATTTCAACCCATCAGCTAATGTCAGAGTATGCAGTGCTTTTCTCCACAGCACGCTACGTTGACTGTGCCTGTTTTGTCAGTCAGCAGTTCCATATGATGGATTTACTAGCACATCATGTATACCTAACCCTACACATCCGAACCCACTTGTACTGAAATTCTCTGCACCACAACAAGTTAGGGAACTAGATTTGCTGTGCAAGGCTTAGCAGCTGCACACCTTTCTGAGCTTCCAACAGCTTAGAGAATGGGCTTCGCCTCTGCTCCTGCATTTCCTCTCCTCTTTGTGGTTGCAAAATGCCACTGCCATAATTAACTTTTGGTTGTATTCCTAAAAGCACCTGCATTTGTCCCTCTCTCCTGTTGCAGTTCTACTGCACTGCATTGCAGTGAACTCAGTGTTCCCTGAATTTCAGTGGAGCTGAGAGTGTCCCTCCCACCCCGTATGCCGTGAGCAGTCACTAACCAAAATCCAGAGCTGGTCCCAGCTGGCTGGCACAGGCCCAGCTGGTTTGGAGCTCCCATGTGCCACAGAGCATCTCACTGGGTTTCAGAGTTTTTCATGCATCTCTAAAAGGCTCCAGGACTCACAGGGCATATAAAAGCTCCAGTGTATCTGCATTAATAATTTCAAGTTTAAGAGCCATGTGATGATTTTTAAGGTGCAGGTTGGGAAAGTTTCAGACCAACAATGCCGAGCTTCACCTGACTGACTACGGTGGATGCAATACTGATTCTACCCAATCCTCCATGTACTTTATGTACCAAGATTAGCCATGCATTTTGCAAAGTA